ACTGCAAGATACTTAAGAAAATTAAATTTATTCCTATTCACTTTTGTGCAAGTGCAGTATTATTCATTGTACTCTAGCTTTTAACTTCCCCTTCTACACTGAGTATTTATGGGCCATTTTGGAATTGTCATCCAAGCACTTAGGGTCATTTTGGTATTAAATAGTGCAATATTCAAGCAATAGGGCACAGCAGGTGGTGCATTTGTGTCTATTATATCATGCCTCAGGCTGAGTTGCCATCCATCCCCTAAAAAAGCACTTACAGCTGAAAAGCATAAAAGGAAAATATTTGTCAGTAAACACAGAAAGAACATTTTAAAACATGCCTGTCTTGTACAGGTCCAGATTATGGTTATTCTTCATAGGGAATGTGGATATAGCACCATTTCTGAGGCTGTACATTATCATTAAAAAAAGCCAAACAAAAACACACCAAGACTGACAAGTCTGATAAGGAATGGGCATTGTACACATCCAGGATCCCCATCTTGGAGCCTGATCAGTATAATATAAATGTGCCCCTCCAATGCAATATCCTGCTGAAGTTAATCTGATTGAGAATGAGTGCAGGGCATATGACACTGGGATCAGACTCTAGGAGGAAGGTCCAAACCTTCACTGTAATAATCACGATTCCGTTTTATGAGGACACCCAATTATATGGAAGTTGGGTTTATTTCACAACTTTTAGTTTTGTCAAAAATGCCTGGACCATGCTTAGACTTAGACATCATTGTGCAGTTGGGATTCATGTTGTATATTTCTATTCAGGTAAAAGTCAAAGTCAGAGTAATTTCACCTAGGTGGAAAAGGCAAAATATATTCCTTAATGTACTGCCCTAGCTAATCATATTCTTGCTTTGTGTCTTTCTGCTCAGGTCCCTTAAGTCCTAAGACTGAGGAGCACAGTATTTAGGATTTATCTATGTAATTTATCTTTAGGATATAAATTCATTACTGCCCACACCTACATCTTTCTACATATCTTTCTTGATGTATTTACTTTGGCTTTGCTCTCTTGCCTTGAACATATTTTCCATTTGGCTTCACAGTTTTGAGGCAATATCATTCTGAAAGAGATATGCCTCTGGTGACGTGGTGTATAAAGTGTCATTTTCTAGATTTTGTATTTTAAAATTAATCATGAAACCCCACTATCATATATTAAATAGGCGTGATAAAGTGTGAAAACAAGAGCTGTACCTGATACTTGAAAGTTGCTATTCTTGACAGCACTTCATCTTTTTCATACCCATATTGGCTTTTATCCCAGCCCATCTCTTCCTTAATGTAAGTGTTATAAATTGCTGTAAAGTGCCATAAAATATAATAAACATGAATCAATATTTCTTGGTTAAAAAACTTAGAAATGCTGATGAAGCTCAGGTTTATTATAGATGTCCTGAACCCACAATGTGCCTTTATTTTTTTACCTTAATCATTTCACGGGTCTTGAGTTCATGTAGGCATGCACATTTGTTCATCACAAATCAAATAGGCAATGAAAATTAAAATTACTAATGGAGACCTAATGAAGTATCTTTAACATTTTAATCAGCAGTTGTAGTAAAGGTGTACAGTAAAATGTTATTCTGTATGAACCTAGCAAATCAGATATTTTGGGTACAATTAACTACCTAGAATCTGTTTTAACAAAGCACTTACACATGCACTTAGCATTAAACATGTAAGTAGTCCTCCAAAGTTAATGGAATGACACACATGCTTGAAGTTAAGTTTATGCTTTTCTGAATCAAGAGTCTTAAGGAGAAAGCACTGTTTGGCAGTCCTCGTTGCCATGAAAAGTCATCATCATCATAAAATTCAGCTCATTGAAGAAGAAATCATGACTTGTGTATAGAATATGAAAGAATGTTGTGCATTATGGTGGGTAGAGCAATACATACCAAACTTACATGTGTACAGGCAGTCCTCAGACTTACAACACAATTGGTTCCTGAAAACTGCGTCTTAAGTCGAAATGTTGCAACTTGGAATCGTTTTTCCCATAGGAAACAATATTATAAATGGGGGATTGGTTCCTGAACCAAAGCCCAATACCCTATTTTCACCAAAAATAACCCAGAATTTTGTACTCAGTCGATTATAGATGAATAATATAGTTACAGTAATGTATTTATATTGTAAATAGCAATCATATGGATTTGGAAGGACTTCTTTGAGGTGACTTTGCTGGACTTTTTGAAGGGCTCTTGGCTGGAGTCTTCTCAAGAGTCTTGGCTGCAGGTTTTTCTGGAGTCTTGTCTGCTTTCTTAAAGAAAGTTCCCAAGGGAGTTTGGACAGATGTTCTCCAGAGAGATAGGTGATGCAGCTAACCTGTTCGCTGATGTGGTATCGCGTCAGATCAAGTGTTGTAACGTCAAAACTGACATCCGAAAATTGAAACAGGGTGTCAATTTATAAATGTTGTAAGTGCGAAAGGCTGTAACTCGAAACGTTGTAAGTCAAGGACTGCCTGTATTTAAATTCTTGTTATCTTCTGAAGGATATTGTTGTTACTTATATGTTTCATAATGGAACGGCAGCTTGTTTCTACATCCAGCTGATGCTGTTTACATTGTGGCAATATTTATTATCAGGCTAAATGATTGAATCAGTGACTTTTCTCTCCTTGATTGCTTTGCAATTTCTCCACAGGAATTTTACCAGGATATGACATCAGGCGAAATTAATGCTCTCTATGGGTCAGGTATCCAGGTTGTACCCATATTGGTTTAGAGGAAAAAACAAGCAGGGATCATGGTACAGATGATATTTTTTATTAGATCAACAAGATTTTTGCAAAAAAAATTCTTTAATTGCAAGCTTTTGGGCACAAACACCCTTTACTAGGCACTGGAGAAAAGACCATAAAAGTTTTCCTGGGTAGAAATGAAAGTTCATATTTCATGGGATTTCACAGAGGAGTCAATATATGGAAAACTCCTCTGGGCAGGCAGGTCTTAGCTGGTAAGGAATCTCTCAGCTCTCTTGTGAGGCTCTGTGATGATGCAAATTACTTTAAACAAAGTCCGTAAAAGTATCTCGGGTTTCAGGTGGTCGAAGTTGCTTCCTGCTTGGGAAATTATGAAGATTTCATTTTTTAAAATGGCTAAAATTCATATTTTCCATGCGTCAGGTACCCAGGAGAGCTGAGTGCTGAAAACACTTATATGCATTCCAATATCTTGGTCTTGCAGTCAGACCTATGCAGGTGGATGCCTGTGCCCACATGACACCTCACTGACTTCCCTGGAGTTGGGTATGAGTGCAGGGTTTCACCAGTCCATGACCCATCGCAGGTTCTTATCCTCTCATGAAGTCAGTTGAGTAATGTGACAGAACAATCCTATGGACTGGTATGGGCTGAGGGCCGACTGGCTAAGCAACAGCTCTGCAGAAAAGGACCTGGGAGTTACATTGGACAAGAAGCTGAATATAAGCCAACAGTGTGCCATTCTTGCCAAGAAGGCTAACGGCATACTGGGCTGCATTGGTAGGTGTATTGCCAGCAGATTGAGAGAAATGATTATTTCCCTCTAATCAGCACTGGTGAGGCCACATCTGGAGTATCACACCTAGTTTTGCCCCCACCCCCTCCTATAGAAAGGATAGCGAGTACAGCAGAGGGCAACAAAAATGGTTAGGGGGCTAAGGCACATGACTACTGAGGAGAGGCTGAGAAAACTGGGCTCATTTAGTCTGGAGAAGAGAACACAGAGGGAATTTAATGGCCACCTTCAACTACCTGAAGGGGGGTTCCAAAGGATGGAGTTTGACTGTTCTCAGAGGTGGCAGATGACAGAACAAGGAGCAATGGTCTCAAGTTGCAGCAAGGGACATTTAGGTTAGCTATTAGGAAGAACTTTCTCACTAGGAGGGTAATCAAGTACTGGAACAGGTTACCCAGAGATGCTGTGGAATCTCCATTCTTGGAGGTTTTTAAGACCTGGCTAGACAAAGCTTCGGCTGGGATGATCAAGTTGGGGTAGCCCTACTTTAAGCAGGGGGTTGGTCTCTAGATGACCTCCTGAGGTCCCTTCCAACTGTAATTTTCTATGATTATATGATTCAATGTTTCTATAGCCACAACAAAACCAGAAAAATCTTGTAAAATTAGCTTGAGTCTTTAATGAAATACAACTGGTATTTCAGTTCTCTCTCTTATTAGGTTTTGTTTTAGAATACTTTCTTTTCCTTCCCTTGGCAGAGAATCCTCGTTTCTTCCCTGATTGGCAAGCAGCATCATTCTCATGAGGCAGGGCTGTATGGGACTCTCTTTGGAGCTTGTCTGTTCAATTGCTTAGCTGTACGGAAACAAATAGTTTGAAAACTTTAAGGCAGCGATTCCTAGCCAGGGTGTGGCAGCACCCTGTGGTGCTGACAGATACTTTTAAGGGTTCTGTGGGATACCACACAATATTAGCACTACTACAGCCACCTACACATAATTCAAGAGATAACCCCAGAGATTTCAAATAGGAATCAAAAGTGTCAAAAGCATTCTGCCCTCTTGTAGTCTGAGTTCTTTTCAAGAAAAGAATAACTCCGTATTTTTTCCAAGGAAAAAAATTAGTAAAAGCTAAGAGCTTGCATTTTCTGAGGGATTCTTTGAGTCTAAAAAACATTGAGGACCTCTGGCTTGTGGCATTCCCATTGTCTTTTACAAAGTGACTAAAAGCCAGGTCTCTAAAGCTATGCAAAACAAAAAGGACATTAGAAAAAACAAACAACAACATAATAGTTGAATTTCAAGACAAAACTTTGACACAATTCTACCTAATAACACATTTTACCATAACAGAACAATCCTATATTGACTAAAATAGTAATTATATTTTTTACACTAAAATAAATGCAATGAAATAAAAACAGGAGTTTTTAAATGCTTGATTGAAAAAATTTGATTTGTCTAGAAACTTGGTAGTTTTTTCTCCATAAGATAGTATTAAGGGTGTGAAACATGCTAATATGACAGACGTTAGTATCTAGAAAATCTTAATTTAATGAGGAAGAGATGTGGTGATGGCCAGCCAGAAGAATTCCTCTGATTTATAGTTGTTCCTTTAATGTGTTGGTTAATAAAATGCAAATGTTTTATGGAGCACGTTCCATTTCAGAGGTGTGATAGAACTCTGCTGGACTGCAGAAGAGGCAGAGTGCGTCAGAGCTCCCAAGATTTGTGGCAGCCTGCCATACATGTTGCCCTGGAACTGGGATTATCTCCTGTGTCATGTCATGGAGAAATCCAAAATGTTGGTCTTTCCTTCTGAATTGAAAAAAAAAAAAGAATCAATTTCTCCATAAAATGGAATTCCCACTCTCTAGAGCACAAGCTGTCCTCCCTAATGATGAAGAATCCTGCCAGCGTAACATAAAATGCTCCTTGCTAGGCAGTTCAGCATTTCTTCTTTTTAGGCTTAGTTTATGATCATTTGTTTTTACTGTCAAAGAATACTGTTTGAAATGCTCAAGCCATAAAGTTCCTGCCTCAGTAGTTAAACTACTTCTACATCTGCTTTAAATCTTCATGAATTAGTTAATGGGAAGGAAAGCAGTCTTCCACAGCAACCACAGAGAAAGCTGCGATTCCAAGTGCAGTGTTCAGTAATCACTTGTGTCAAACTGTTTGCCAACAGTGAGAAGATCCTGGAAGAATTCTCACCTATCTGTGAACTCAAGGCCAAATTCTCATCGCAGATACACATACAAATTCACTTGGACTCTCTGGGCAGAATTTAAATTGCAGTTATGTCAGAGCTTTCCTTTTCTCTCCCAGTGTGATACCTCAGTCTTACAATGATACAGCTGAAGGTTACGTGACTTATATTCCTCATTGAAACAGGCAAACCTGTAATCAGGATTATGGAATTTTGCCCCATGAGTCTGACTGGCGAGTGCTTTCTGGAATTTGGTAGACAACGTTATTTGGGTAGATGTGATATCTTTTATTAGACTAACTAAATAGTTGGGGAAATTGTTCTTTGCAAGCTTTTGGGTACAAACACTTCTTCAGGCGAAGGGAGAGTCTGGAGTTTGGAAAATTTATGAAATACTGGATTAGATGTTTTTAAAACAATATGTTAAATAGACGCTTGCTTAAGATGGTTGGATAGGCCTGGCCCTACTTAACTATAATTATCTCTTTCCAGATCCTCACCTGCAATAAGCAGATACACTTCCTGTAAAGCAAATAGAGCTGTTAATTTACATTAACTGAAGATCTGGCCCAATGCTTTTTTAAATACCCTGCTAATACTATTAGCTCTCACATGATGCATCACTCTAATGCCACTAAGCTTATTGACAACACACACATTCACCCCCCAAAAAAGTTTTGTTTTGGTTTTTTTAGTACAATCAGGGCCAATGCAGTTGAGAAACTGCACTTGGGTCTCTGCAACAAAACTCAGCCCATGAACTGCAGCCACAATGATTAACAAGGAGTTTCCAGAAGTTAATATTCCAGGCAAAAGGGTGGCTCCTTGGGAGGTTGAGCAGTGGAGAGTGGAAGTTAAAATGACTTGTGCACCACTGAGCTGGAACATTCTGCAGCTGGGTCATTGATCTGCACTATTCTGGCAGGGCACCACTTTTGTATTGTTAATTTTCAATGACATAAAGGCTTGTATTAATACAGGAAACAGAATGAAAGGGCCAACGAACTGAAGGGAAGACAAAGGAGAGGCCAACCCAAATATGGAGAATTTGACAAGCTGTGCCACAAATACAGGAACAAATTCCATCCAGGAACAATAAGAAATTCATTACTTTGTGAATCAAATATACCAGGTCAGATCCTCACTGGGGTAAAGAGATACTGCTCCTTTGAATCCAGTGACTTTATTTACTGATTGACACCTGCTGAGGATATAACTGATGGCTTACATTACCAGTAGTGCCATGCATAACCATTATTCTCCCCTTTGAGGGAAATACTTGTACAAAGTATTTTTATATAAATATTAAAGTCTAATGCCCACTATCCTGAAATCCTTTTTTATGACCCCTAGTATAATAGTAAGTATGAAAAGGTGCATAAACCTCAAAGAAGTTGTTCATCTATCAGGAAGAAGAATGTTTGTTCTAAAAACAAGGGGGTAATAATTTATTGTTTCGATCCTCTGTAATAAACTTGAAATAATGCCCTTAAATTTCAGAGTTTTACTGTCAGTGAGACAGTCATTAGTTCTTATGACTGAATTCCCACACCATAACATTCATCAGTGTCTCAAAACAGTCCTCCTGTACTTTCCCTAGGGCTCTATTCAGCCAAAGTGCAACTCCCCAGGTCCTCTGCACTGGGATCTCAATGACAACACACCAAACTTTGCTATGACTCAAGTCCTGTCAAAAACTTAAACTTGGGATGGCTGAATACTCCACCATACCACTTCCTTCACTTAAGGGGAACTCATATGACCTCTCCCACTAGATCAACTAGGAAACAGAGCCATCTCTTAATAATATAGTCTGAACAAAATAAGCATGCTGAATTTCATGATGGGGAACTGGTTCTACCAGAATTGCATGAGATCATGGTCTTGGAAGGTTTATGATGCAAATAGAGAAATGTGAGGTCCACAAAGAAGCTCGAGTTATTGACTTCTCAAATGATACCGGGAAACACAAAAGGGCAATGTAAATGAAAATAAATTTACCGGAGAAATAAGTTAGTTACAAGACAGGGCATTAAAGCTTGAAGACCTGGCACTAATCAAACTAAACAAAAAAGGAAATAAGTCATCTTTCATTAGGGACAATTAGTGAACTTGGTCTGGGGAAGGTCTGGGTCCATTCCCAGGCTCATTCTAAAGCAGGGGTGGGCAAAACATGGCCTGTGGGCTGGATCCAGTTTGACCGGCAATGTCATCTGGCCCTCAGGTGGGTGCCCACCAATTAATAACATCTGGCCTGGCCTGTGGCTGCCCTGCTGTGCTCCACATGGGGCCAAGCCCTGTCCAGTCCTGCCGGGGCAACAAGTTGCACTCCCACCTTTGCCTGCAGGATGGGGCCAGCCGTGGCCAGCATGTACAGCTTCTGAGTTAGGCTGCTGTTGCCACTGCTGCAGCCACCCGGAGAACTGCTCAGCTTCCCCAGCCTCCAGTGGCTCCTCCTCCTGTCCCTGCTGCAGCACTCCAGGCAGCAGGCAGGGAAGTGGCAGTGGGGAGTGGGGAATGTGGGGCCCATATCAGGGCCCCAGAGCTGGTGCTGGTGGGAGCACAGGGTCTGTGCTGGGGCTGGTGGGAACTCAGGGCTGGTTTGAGCTAGAGCAGCAGGAGCATAAAGCCTGGGTTGGCAGGAGTACGGGGCCAGCCTGGTTCCATTGCACAATGCTCCCTGTGGCTCATGCACAGCTCCCAGGACTCAGCCAGGGCAGTAGTAAGCAGGGCCAAGCTGGCCTGGCTTCTTTGTATGGATCTCCCTGGTGATTCCCTCCTTGGTGATTCCCAGGAGCTGCACATGGCAGCAGGGAGTGGGGCCAGACCACCAGCTCCATCACACGTGACTCTCAGCTGAGTCCTGGGAGTTGCATGTGAGCTGCGGGGAACCCCACACAATGGAGCCAGGCTGGCCTGGCTACACTCCCTGCCACGTGCCTCTGCAGGGCTCCACCTGCTGCAGGCTATGAGCACTTTGAGGGCCCACTGCCGGTGGCTGCTGCTGCCATGGGCAGCAGGGGCTGTGCACCAGGGGGAGCATGTGGGATGGCCCCCCACATGCATACTCCACACAATAAAATAAGAGTAATGCTATTTTGAACTATTATGCCATCATCTCTATATACACTGTGCAAACACACATAAAACAGGGCAAAAATATTTTTTGAAATAAAATTAAAATATCATAGTAGATGTTTGATTTTTAGTATACGATTTATTTTTTTCCAGTTCCAAAATGGCAACCCTCCCCCCACCCAAAAGGAGTACTTCCAGGGGCAAGGGGAGGGGCTTCCAGTGGCAAAAGTCAAGAGTTAAGGGTGGGACTTCCAATCCCAAGAAGGTGACCAGGGGGTGGGGCACCCATCAAGGGGCAGAGGTACCCTCGCCACCCTCAACAGTTCAGCTAAACTCATTAAGCAACTCTCCGGCTGAAATACTTTAGACCAGGGGTGGACAATTATTAGAGACAGTCTCCATTTATGTAAATACCAACCATCTTGATGTAATAGGTGGATATAGAGCAGACAGTTAAGAGGAATCCTGAGAACATCAGGCAGAGTTTGCCAAGCCAGAGGAAAGAAGGAATCTTAGTTCAAATGGGCTAAGTGGATTCAGTGGCATATTTGATTAAAAGTCTCAGGGGGAGAAAAGTTAAAGCTAAGACTGTATTGAATGAGTGAGTACGGTATGAACAGACAAACAATTTTGCATTTAAGCACCAGCCTTCGCCTTTGCTCACAAATGTATGTGAACCTTAATTTTAAGCTTTCCAAAATTCAATTGCAAGTTTAAGTTTGAGACTATTGTGTTCAGAGGAAACAACTCACAGTGGCCAGTATCAGTCTTCTAGTCCCTGCAGGTTGCCAAACTCCTGATATAAAACCAAGAATTTCCTGTGAGGCTGATATCAGGAAAACAATTATCAAACTAGGTTCATGTTCACCTTTGTTTTGAATTATTATTTGGTTTTTTTTAACAGGAATGAAAAACTTGGATCAGAAACCAAAGCTGATGTAATATTCACCATGTAGGTATTTGTCACATTATATTCAATGTTAAGACTGTTTACTCCACTCTAGATAAATACCAGAAGGGGCTCTGAACTTTTTACTACCCAAAAAGCTGTCTTCAGAACACACTGAAATAAAAGAAAGGTTGAATGTTAATAAAGTAACCAAATAAGAACATTTACATAGTATTAAGATCATGATTACTGAAACAACTCCTGTCTGCTATTTTTTTCACTCTGTTTACCCCATCTATAGATTTCCCCCCGCCCATCAGAAAATTTATAATTAGTGTATGTGTGTGTGTGTGTGTGGGGGGGGGGGTTAAAAACAAAAAGTCAGTTCCAAGATGGTAACCCCCGCCACCCGCTACAAAGGGTTAAAGTCTAATTACCCATATTAATTTCTTTCTGAAATTTTCAAACGCATAAAAAAGGAGGAGGGTTTCATAAGGCCCTATTGTAACTGTCCTATGATATCACAAAAGCTAAGGTCACGTTGACCTGCTCTGTTAGAGTACATCATCTACTTAGCAAAAAAGAAAACAAATTGCGTCACATTTTATTCCATCAGCGGTTGTAAATGAAAAGGATATTTTGAGAAACTGAATTAATAATACATTAAAATAACTAGGAAGGAAGGTTGATAATTAAACGTGTTCTGTAATTCAATCCCAGCCTGAACAATGAGTCTCCTCTTTTGGTAATAGTTCTTTTTAATTACAGAAATGACAGCTCTGAGTGGCTCAAACCTTCTCTGTCATCTTCAACCCAGACAAAGCCAATTAAGAAAACACCAAACCAAAAAGGCAGATCATTCATTTTACATCCAGTTTTCCCAACCACGTCCCTCCAGAGATCACGGAAAGGCAGAGGCACTTCAGGACTTAACAGTACAGCAATTACAGCAGCCTATAGCCCAGGGCTCCCCAAACATTGTCCACTTAACCCTTTTAGATCAACTGAACCATTCCTGGAGTACGATACTGCAGTGAAGCTGGCAGAAGGAAGCCACAAGATGACTACAGCAGCATACAAGAAGCAATTACTTTTGGACAATCAAAGAATAAACACTGACAGCAGACAAACCTGCAGCACTATGTAACGGAACCAGACAGCCTTTAATAAAGGATCTCTTCTGAAATTTTCTAGCAAGGTGCTCACTGAAAGACCAAGCCAGAATGACTGCCAGTTATATCATTGTGTTGATACATAAAATGAAAGGGGACTCTGCTTAGAATACCTGAATGCAGGGCCATTTAAATGGAGGGCGCTACACTGCCTTCTACTGCTTCAGGGCCTGGTCCAAAGGACTTGAAGAGAGAAAAAGCACCTAAGTCCACCCTTGAGGCTTTCCTGGATGTTCCTGGGTACATTCTGGTATTTAGGTAATCATTCTGCCTCCTCTTGCATGTATTAATATCACTGCCTTCAACCCATTTTTTGGCAGACAGGTCCAAATTCTTACCAAGCCTCCCCTTTGAACAGAACCTCCTTTCTGATAGTTAGCCTCAACTTCATTGCCATTACTAGGCCTAAAAATTAATACTCCAAAGGGATGATGGGAATCCTTTGGGCACTGGGTTTCAAGCTATTATATTTGTTTCATTCTGTCACAGCTGGAAGCTTTTTTAACAACAAACTCTTCAGAAACTAATGGGTCCCAGAGAAGTGCTAGTGCATTACAGCCACTGAATCAGCTCTTAGTGAATCCCACATGCTGCCAGTCCTTGCCTGCTTGCCGTGTGGGTGAATGATAGCAGCTGTTTTTCCCCTCTGTGAGTCTTGTGTGCCATTATTAGGCAATTTCTCCAGAGCTCAGAGGCTGCTGTTTCTTCGCACCTTCACAGGTACGGTGAATTGTAAAAGCAACAGGAAGAAGCAGAACAGGGTGTCCTGGGATTGTACAGCTTCACCCCATGCCTTTTATTCAGGGCTGTTTATTATTAGGCACAATTGTGTCTCCACTATTGGACTGAACAGAACCACTCCATTTTTTCCTTTTCCCCCTTTAGGAAAAGGGGCATAGGGTGATGCATTATTTTGTTAGGAGGAAGTATATGAACTTACTGTTCTTTTCCAGTGTGCTTTCACAATGTGGTCTTACTCCATTGATCAGTGAAAGCAAGTCCAGAATTCATCTGTAAGAAAGAAGACTATGCTAATGGCACCTAGTAGAGTATTTAGCAACCAGCTGTTAAACTGGAAAAGTAACAGGAACTTTAAGGAAAAGGGAAAATATGTTTAAAATACACAAATGAATATTTACTCTCATTATACAGAAAGGTACTCTGTTTTTTTGGGCCCTGAAAATGAGCAGCCCCACAGACATAAACAATTGTTCGATGAAGAAAAGGGGGAGAGGACATTGCACTGCCAGGAAATAGTGGTGCAGTGGCAGGGTACCAGGATAGATCCGGAGGGGCCACAATGGCATGGTCACACCCCACTTTCAGAACACATTGCAGGAGCAGCAGTCAAGCACTATTTTTGAAGTCCCTGAAAAAAGTAAAAACCCCCTTCCTCCCTTTCAGTGCTCAGTGGCATGTTTCCTCCCATCCCATTCCCCATCCTCCCTGCTGTCTTTAACTGACCTGGGGTCAGGGGGAGCTCCAGAGCCCCTCCTGCCCTGCTCCAACTGGACTGTGCATGGGATTGGGCTCAGCCAAAGATGGTGGCCCCAGTGACGGGCACATTGTTCCTTCCTGCCCGATCCCCCTGGGTGCTGCCTGCCAGGCTAGGGGCAAGTGCAGGAAGGGGGAACCCACCTACCATTGCTTTCTGCCCCTGACTCAACCCAGCCCTCACACAGCCCTGTGGAGTGGGACAGGGGTGGCTCTGAAGCTCTCCAAGTCAAAAAAGAAATAGTAGGAACGGCACCAGTGATCAGAGGGGGAAGTGGGGGAGGACATGGGAGGGAAGAGGGGGGTGCCACTGAGCGCAGAGAGTAAATGGAGGAATCCCAAGAGCATGGGGAGGGGGGCAGGCTTCTTACGAGCTTCACAGACTTTTAAAAAAGTCCCAGAAGCTGCTCCTGCAATGTGGTCGTCCTGCCCTAGTCAGGGTTGGGGAGCTGGGAAAGAGGGTGCTGCCACCCCTTCAGATCTAGTCATTTCTCTTGTACCCTTTTTTACAACATTCTGGATTTGCTCATCACACATACTATAGTATATTTTGAAATCATATCTTAGAAAAAATCTCCCCAGACCTTTTAATTGAGCCTAGCCCATGATTTTGGAAGCACTGGGTAGTAGTAACCTTTTCTTGCTGCCCACGCATCTTTGAAGATGCTGCCACACAGAGAAATCAATCAGTCAGTCTTTAAAAAAAAGGTCAGAAATAATTCATTCCAGCTGTGATTTGAGGATAATTATTTGAGTCCAGGAAAGGAAAAAGCCTCTTTCCATCAACCCCACAGATATCTGCATGATATAGCCAAATTCCCCACCCTGTTCTTGCCACTGACCGGGCTGTCATTGCTAATATCACTATGACTTCTTGTTTACTGGTTTAAAAGGAATTATGCCCCCAAAATATAAACAAGTATTTTTCTCTTTGAAATGTGACATTATCTGGACTGCATGCAGTTTGGCAGTGCCAGCTGCCAGTGCAGCCCCATTGTGTTTAGAGAGAGGAGGACTGAAGATTTCAAAAGATTTTTTTTAAATAGTTATGACTTTGCCTGAAATCCCACTGGGAGCTTAACCAAGGCAATTTCTTGAAAGACTGGTCTAAATATATCTTTTGGCACTTGATGTAAAGCTTGGTTCAGCTCTCTTAGTAATACATGATAGACAACTAAACAATTTTTTAATGGAAACCTGCAATGGATCTCATCAACCAAGCTATGTATTACAAATTTGGGCAGAAAAATACATTGATTCTAACACCATGGTATATTTTACCTACAATTCCCTGACCTTCTGTACAATGTAGGTCACATTTTATATGGTTCTTAAGAGATGGATAGTGTAGAGCTGTATCTAAAATAAATAGAAGAATACAGTGTGATTGTGTGTTAAATATGCAATTCATATTAGGGTCACATGCCACATCCAGCTTACCCATTTAAAATCTGGTCCAGCCATTTAAAACTAAGGAAATATGATCCAGACAAATGAAGTTCAGTTGTTGGTATAGCATTTCTTTCTAACTTCACTTAACTAAATATATGACTCCTTTGCATAGTTGAGAAGAATATGATAAAATACATTTAATCTTGGAGGTTTTTATTTTTTATTTCAAAACTGTGAGAAATCTCTGAGATTGGAAAACTGAAGAAAGTCAAAGTGGGCTTACAGAGAACCAAAAACAGTCACCGGGCTAGAGTTTCATGGACAAAAAACCCAAACATTATGTAGATTAACAGGAAAATAAGTATTACTGATTGGGTCAAGCTTTCCAGCAAGATAAAATGAGTACTACAGAATTTATTTTCATTAAAGAAGTCCATAGATCAGATGACAGGAATTAAAATGTGCGTCTAGTCTTGGCTTATCTGCAGCTTTTCTGCTATGACACTATAACACACATTTTAAAGTACAGAAAGTACAGAATTATGATATCCAAGCAGATATTCTAGAACAAGTATTATATTATACTAGTTGACCACTAAAAGCCAAAAAATAGAAGAAATACAGTAAAAAAATCTATACAAATCAGAAAGATTGTTAAAAACAGGGAATGCAATAATCTTAATCATTGAACTAGAATTTTAAAGTGATTTATGAAGGAAATTAAATGACCAAGTACAGGTATTCAAAGGAAGCAAACAAAGAACTAAATTTAGAAGGCTGCATCACAAATGGAGTCAAAATTAGACACAAAAGTAGAATATCTAGTTTGCAACAATAATTACTCCCACATTTGCATGATGAGGGTTCTTTGGTAATTTTTTGCTAAGCTATTATCTTTTTAAAAAGAAAGTGTACACTAACTAAAGCAAGGGAAATCCAGGCCATCAAGCCTCAGGGCAAAACAATTAGGGTGGGATTTGCAGAAGCACTAAATATTGCCCCCAAACTTTTGACTAAATGTGGTTTAGTTGGACTACTACCGATAAACGTATTCCAAACTACAAAATATAGATATGATGGTTTTTATTCCCATGCTGTACCCAAACACATGTATAACAAAAGGCTGCTATTCTTTTCTTGCATTTTCTAAAGAGCCTCAATCCCTTATAACTCTTAGCTTTTACAATACAAACCTTCTGGAATCACATGATGCTCTCAGCTCTTAAGAACATGTTAACTTTTCTAGTACCCAATGGGTGACTGTACACATGCAGCAAGGATGTAATTACATGCTGCTCCGATGCATGGTAATTACCGTGCTCTAGCAGACTCCAGTGTCATGTGTATCACCGTCCCCACCCAGAAAAATGGCAGTGGGGGCACTTTAACTAAAGCTAATTCAATGAGCTTTAGTTAAAGTGCCCCCACTGCCATTTTTTAGTGTGGGCATGCTGATACGCGAGATGTTCTGGGACCTTTATTTAGAGTCGCTCTTGGAGCCACTCTAAGTAAGGGACCCCATCCCCCTCCCCATATAAATACCTTTTGTTTCATTGCATGACCTCTATTTGTGGCAGGGGTAATTTATTAATTTTTTACATTTTTGACACTACACATTTGAGGCAAATGCATGGTTATCCTTGGTTTAACACTGTCTGTACATGTAGTGTTACTGGAGTTTTGAATAGGAAAGAAGCTACTAAGTTTTTAGGACCTGAAGAGAATGAAGTCAGGTCAGGACAGTTTATGAAACTTTCTTCATCCATTCTCTTGACCCTTTTTTTGTGGGCTGTGCGCAAAGATGACTCTATCACTTTCTGAGGAACTATTCGTCTTTGTGAAAGTTAAAACGAGAACCAAAGGAAAATGTCAATGAATGCTTCAGTGGCACTAATAGGGTAAGAAGAAAGAAAAGAAAATCCATTTACAAGCTCATAATTTTTAAATGTCTATAACTGTCTAATGTTATTTAAACACTAGATATATACACATTCTAAGTTACTAAAATGTTTCCATGCTCTGCCAAATACATTTCTTCAGCATGATTGCCTTTTCTTTCCCCCCACCATGACAGATTGCATTTAATTGAACAGTTGCCAGTTTAAAACTGTCATTAAAAATGCATATATTCAAATAGTCTTAGTACAGCATACTGCCCTTTCAGTTCACTTCCTTCTTTTATCTGGTTGCAAATATCCTTTTTATTCGGGACCTAATTTATTTAGAAATAATGTGATTCTTACTAAGGCCAAGGACTAGAATTACAAAAACAGAGTAAGCTTGTTAAATTGCTTAATGGTAATGTTTTTTTACTGATCTCAAAAATGACCTGGCCTCTCCACGTCCCTTTACCACTGGACTCGAGGGTGTTTCAAGGAGGTGACTCACTTAAAGTAGAGGAGAAGTTTGGATCCCAGTTATTTGCTTCAAGAGACTTCTAATAGCAAGTTAAAGCAGTGGAACTAATGCAGGCCATAAAGGAGACAAGGTCCCTCCTTGCACATGAACAGAAAAGGCAGGTTTAGTGAAATGGTGCTTTTATAGAAGGAAAAATTTGGATCAAAAGCATATTTGTACTTAATATGAAACACTGATGAGCAGATCTATTCTCTTTCCGGTTTTATACAAATGAAGTTACTCCTTAAATACAGTAACTTATATCTTATTAACACAATAAGGCAGAGCTATTCACCTATAAGTTTTCAAAAGACAATCCTCTCTACAGGTTAGCAATAAGCTGCGATGGAATCAGCAATGTCTAGTTAGCACTAAGAACTATTTACCATTCCTGAGCCATGGGACAGAATTCATATATTTATGATGAGTATTTAAAGGAAAAGTTAATAGCAATTTGGGGGCTATTAGAGGATGTTCAGCCACTATGTAGCATTAGTGTAAAAACTATATAACTCTATTGACCTTCTAAATGAGTGCACTGTTACTGTCATGCTTTTCAAGTTTTTCTAGAAAGAGCTGGGAGTACTTAAGCAATATGGTTCACAAAGCCTTTTGTTCTCTTGCATTCCTCAGCAAAAGTGCATTAGCCATGAAATGATGAAAGGAGTTACTAAGATATGTTATGGTTCTAAAGACATAGGGCCAGGCCCTCAGTTTTAGTAAGCTGTCATAGCTCCATCCATTTACTTAAATTGAGCTACAATTGTTTAGAGTTGAGAGCCTGACCCATTGTCTGTTAACATGCAGGTCCACAAGTATTTTTGACATTTATATCTTATATATGGATACTTTATTTTGTAACTTTGTGGCCAATGAGAAAAAGAACTAATTATCACCAGTGACAAATGCAAGAAAGAATATGACATTGTTATAGTAGGGTTGGAGTGTTGTTGTAGCTGTGACAATCCAGGATATATGCAAAAAGCAAAGTTTTTTGTGATATCTTTTCTTGGACCAGCTAAAGAGTTGGAAGAGATGTTAGGAAAACTTTCAGGCACAAAATGACCTTCAGAAAATGGGCCTGGAAACAAAAAAGTCATACCTTTAATGGAGGCTAACTACCCTGGATTAAATATAGATAACAGTTTCATGACTCACTGTAATCTAACTCATGTCTCTTCTAACCTCTCAATTCTCGACAGGCAATAGCGATACTCTTCCCTTCTGAATGTTCTTGTTCTTTTACATAATTAGGTTATCTATTCAACTAAAGTTCTCTCTGATGCCTGAAAGTATCTCTTCTGATACCTGCTCTTTGCCCCTGGTTTACAACCCTCCTCCCCTCCCCTAAATGTCTGTTTTATTTTACATATGGAATAAGCCTGACATCATTTAATCTGGTATTTAATTTAGGCTGCACTTGCTTCTTCCCCAGACTTCAAGAAGAGCACACTGCGTCCAAAAGCTTGTTTAGCATCTCTCTCAACTGTTCAATAAACAATATCACTAAAAACCTTGCTGCTATAATATTGGTAATTTTCAAACACCCAAATGAGTTCTGCACCTTTTACAATTTTTAGGATAAAAAAGCATTTAGAGAAAATAAAATTAATGCTTCATTACTTCTTATATTGCATTTAAGAGGAACCTGGAAAAATACTATACCATCTACCAAGAAGGCTAATTTAATGTATATTAAAACAATGAAAGAAAATAATTACTAACATACATATTAAATATTCTTTGGAACTATGATTTTATGATCATAATATGGTGTGATGATGTATTAAAATCAAGTGAGTGGAGAGTCTGAGGAATCACCATGATTAAGGGGTATATGTGAAGAAGAAAATGCAAGGATAAGATAGCAAATTTACTTTCCAGAGCATAACTGAGGGGCATAACAGCACTGGAAAGAGAGATTGAGAAAGTTTAAAGCAAGGGAATATGCAGAATAAGAAAAATCCACAGAAATGGAGGCAGGGTTTGTTCTTTTCTGATGATATGTAACTTGCATGCAAACTATACATCATTTTATGGCTACTTTACAGAAAAACAAGCCCCACTTCATCCCCAAATGACTGGAAAGTGTTAACAGAACTCATACACGCCAGTACTGCATTCAGTACCCCTTGGCTGCACTCAGGGATTTATAATGATCTCTTTATTTATTTATTTAGTGTGTGAGGTTTCAGCATATTGTTTCAGCCATCTTAAGGCAATGTCATCACTAGTGTGAAGAGTTTGAAAGCCACCAGGTAGCATAGTAATAGACACAAGTCAACAGTGCGAAGACATGGTTTGAACTTGTCCACAAGGCATTTGTTGTCCTTGCAAAGGCCCTATTGATATAGATTTGAGGCACAGTGACCCTGTCCAGTTCAAAAACAGTTGAGAAGTGTGTTCTCAACCAGGATGGCCAGGTAAATCCTGGTTGATTGACTATAGGGTCAGAGATGATGTGACGATTGGTGCTTGTACTAACTATTCTTCATGCCGTTGATGAAGTAATGACAAGTCAAAGGGTGTACTAGCTGAGCTACTGGTGGGTGGAATACAGGGGCAAAGTGTCCTGCAACTGAATAATGCAGTATGAGGGCAGATGAACGTCATGTGAGGGCACTGTCATCCCAAGTGGAGCCCACACGTTTGGCAAATAGGTTATTCCTTGTTTTGATTTTTAAAGAAGTTTTCTGGAGCTGTGATTTATGAGCTCAAGTCCAGTCAAGAGTGACTCCAAACTAAGCTGAGTGGGTTTTCAGAGGATGGGCATTTAAGGTGATAGTGAGTTCACAATTAGCACTGCATTATGCAGATGGAAAACACTTGAGACAATCTTTGAGGTATTTGGTTTGAGGCACCATTTGGGGCAGTACTCGGACATCAGTCTCATGTCTCCATCAAGCATGAGTTTCATATTTGAAAAGTCATGGGCTTAGGTTGGAAGGGAGAGGCACCAATACTGATCTCCAGATGAGGCCATTGGCTTGATGATGACTCCAAGAGCTAGTTCAATTGGCCAGGTAGACTCTAAAGTGTTGACCATGTAGTCTAGTTGAACTATTGCAAGTTCCCTGATGTGGTCAAATTCCTGATATTTTTGCCAGAAGACCAGTATAGCAGTCTTAAAATGCACAGCCCAGCTAAGGTTATATAGACAGTTGAAATTTTGTCATTTAGTGATTATTTCCCTGTTCCTTCCCCTGCTCCCCCAGTTTATTATTTTCTCCTTTTTCTTTTTTACTAAATGAAATACTTAATATATTGCTATTTTCCATCAGGATAGCATAAGCTACTCAGGTGTCAAGAATTTTGCCAGCAGCTTTGGCAGAAAGATTGTAATGCATATTTATCTCTATATAAATCATATGAATACACACATTACCCTACTTCCAGGCATTCTAACCTTCATGTGTACACGTGTTTGTTCTGTTTATGAAAGACAGATAAATACCCAATTTTTTGCTACTGAAACTCTTGCTAAAACCTGTGTTGTCCCAAGATTTCAGTTCTCGATTGCTTGAGCAGACCATGTAATTGGAAGACCACTATTTCCTTATTACCAGTGAAAATTTAGAAGCAAAAAAGATGAGACACAAAGAAGGCTGAACAGCAACATCATGTATATACTGTGATAACAGGCTCAATCCATTGCATGTGCAGATGATCTGCTCAGTAGTTCTCATAATGATATACATTAGTACCAGCTCCTTAAGTAAGGTTACTGGTCAAGGACAGATGATTGTGAAACCACTGGCACGCAGGCTCTACTAGTCTCTCTAGCAAAAGGACTTCACAAAACCAATGCTGGTCATACGTGCTATATACACGTTTTTTATGAAGCCAGTTAACCTCTTTACTTTAAAACAAGAGCTTTGTTATTGGTGAATGTGGCAGCTAATCCTTCACAGCAGATAACTTCAGTAAGGTTGAGTGGAATGAGTTACATTTGCTTCACTTATGCTCCTGAATAATAAAAGATTAATTGTTTTATTTGCCAAAAATAGATTTGGATGAAAGTTAAAAAACATTCAGTCCTGGATAGTGGATTAGTCTAAGCTTCTGTGACCAGAGGGCAGTTCAAATACTTTTGCACTATATCTGTTCTCCCAATTTCATTTTCCTGATCAGTTCAGCCCTACCCCTTGCAACACACCATTAACAGTTAAGTGCAGCAATGTAGCTTAGGGTAACGTGGCTTCAATTTATAGCTGGCATTTAAACTTAGCTTCATGACTGTATGGCCAATAATGTATGTACATGTTTCATTGAGAAATGCTACCCTTTTTCATTTCAAAGCCAAACAACCAGCCATTTACAGAATGATATTGTTGGCCAGTCTTTTTGAGCTGATTAGAATTAATACCTTTCATCAGGCAAGAGTATAAATGTATTGAACTTGGGGATGGCTAGCATAGCAATATGAAGACACTGCAAAAAAAATAATAGATTGCAATCCTACCTTTACTATTACATAACTTATTGCCACAAATTGATGTCCATAGTAGATTCCAATTCATTCCAATATAGTGCATTTGCCAGGAAAGAAACAGGGGGGAAAGTTGCACTCAGCAAAGTGTTTTGAATCAAGGAAAATCAGCACATTAACACAAGGAGAATTTGGTCTTCAGTTATGTTCCAAGACACCCAATACAGAACATTATCCACCCTACCTCCCTAAAAGCCTTTTACTTTTTGTGGTGCCCACAAAAGCTTGCAGAAAAGAAGCAGGAAGCCAAACTGAAATTACTCTCTTTCAACAGGGGCCATAGTGTCTCCTCGCATCCAGCCACCTCTCTCAGGCAATACAGAGCGGATTCCCAGGTTTTATGATCTTTCTCACTGAAACGAAAAATCTGAGGTTTGAAACAGAACCATTTCCATTACTTGCTTAAATGGCTGCTATAAGCCAGGCTTCCCCTCATCCACAGCAAGAGTAAGTCAAGTAATCTCTTATTTCCCCAAAGCTTGTTTATTCATTTTTATTTTCTATCACCCTCCAACAGTCCCTTGATTTTTCTAGGGAAAAAAAACCCAGTCATTGACAGGGTACAAACAGGAACTCCCCCCACAAGAAATAGGGCAAATTAAGCCACTTACTTCCCACCAGGGCAGACAAACCTTTCCTCTTCCTCTTTTTATGTCAGACAGCAGTTTAAATGAACCCCAGCTGCAGTCAGGCCTCCAGTCATTTAACTCTTTCATGTCTGCAGATTTAGTAGGGAAACACATGATTTCACTGGAGAAAAGAGATGAGATCTGACCCAAATCAGAGGTAGGAGGTTTTCCCAACCCCAGACCTGTTAACTATAAGAACAGATGCCAAAGAGTATTTGGTTGATGTAGCTGGATTTGCAAGCCGTCCTACAATGTCTTAAGGAAATGTTACTGTTATGCAAAAACTCATATAGTACATTAGGCCACAACAAGCACTTCTACACACAAAAGAAAGCAACTTTCCAACTAATTTGTGAGGGTTTTGAAAAAAGGCCCATTTCCTTGTTCTGTATTTGTACAGCCCCTAGAGTAATCAAACTCTCCCACGTGACTGGCACTCTTAAACATGATGGTACCAATACATTACCCCTTGCGCTACCAATACTAATAAAAAATATATTGAAAGTGTGTTTTTTCAAATAATTAAAAATATATGTGGTATAAAATGAGTGCAACTTCACCGGACATTCATTTGCTCATGTCAGTGCTGAATGTGATCAACTGAGTTAGGAAGGAATACAGTGCCTTTTATGAGAACTGGTGGTTTTAATTTAATCAAATCCATTCATAACCACAGAGTAATACCATGTTTACCTTAGAAATTGTAACTAAGCTGTCTCTAATCTTGCTCTCTAAGTATGCATGTAGTCTGCATTTCCTCAGTATCTGACCAATAGTATAGCTTGAAAAGCCTAGTGGAATTCAGTAGCCTGAGAACCCATTTAATTTATATTCAACATATATCACTGTGACATGCTACCCTGAGCAGCAGATTATAGCCTCCTTTAGAAATCTGAAGTGGTAATATGATGAATTTTGATTAGCTTTCTCTCTTACCTGTGAAAAAGTGGCAGATTACACACACAGTTTTGTTAGCTAGGCAAGCCTTTGCAGAGTTATCATTCTGTCTTTTTAAAAATCATTACTTACTGTTTACTTTGTGATTTCTGTCTGCATCTTGCAAGGACAAATAGTCAATTATCTGGCTCCATAACAAGCTCACAAAATGCATACACTTTTATATATTTTACTTGTTTTATTGGCCATAGGAAAACCATTGTAGTAGGCGGGCATCATTTATATAATCACAAAAATGTAACTACTCCAAAACAGAAGAAGATAATCACCATCGTCTCATACCATTTAATGAGGTTCTGGAGAAATAAAACTACTCTTGAGGAAGACATTTTCATGTCTTCAGCTGAAAGGGTGTTCAGTGTCAAAGTTAATGTAACATAACCCTGAAGCAAACTGATGTTTACAGCTGTTCTGCTAAACATACAGGAAAGACTATGAACATGGGAAACTCTCTGCAGCTCCCTTCAAAATCACAATGCAAGAGTGTTTTGAGGTCATCATGAGGCAGCTAACATTGATTAATGTTCTTATATAGCAATGACACTGTAAGTTTATGGATATACTGGTGAACTTTTGCCAAAGCTCACTGAAAACAGCTGCAAGGCCAGACTGACATTTAACCTCCCCTTTTTAATACAGGGACTCCTGGCACAAATACTGTGCTAGAAGCACACAACCCATGGGGTTACCATTACAAAAACAGATTTGGCCAGCAGGACATGTTTACTTCCTGAACAAACTCTTGACACTTTACATGAAACTGTAATCACACAATACTTGGGAGATGAGAGGTTGAAACAAACATTTAAAAGAAAAGGAGCATTCTTGAGATAATCCAAACAAACACATGCTGTGCTTAATTTCTGATCTGTCAACCTCCTTTTGGGACTACAATCAGCAGAATTGTACTCCGACGTTAGAAAGAAATTGTTCTTCAGATCAAAACGTGACTGAATCTTTACTTCTGCAGACAAGTCAGCCTCTCTACACTTGGCTGTAAATTTATCTGAGAGAGTATCATAAGAAATTGGAGTATCGTAACATATTGGAAGAGTATCATAACAAAACTCTGTTGCTGAATTGAAGAGAATGTTTGGGGGTTCATCTTGCCTCTGGCAATGCTGTTAAATCATCTCTGCCAAAAATATCCTGTCTCAAAGACTCATAAAAAATACCTTTGAAGAGAAAATATTTTTCACCTTTGGAATGGGCCAACCAGGAGATAATCAAAAGAAAGGTTCTTTGAGGCTGCAGACAGACATGACACTTGAACCATTTCTAGAATGTTACTGCTTGGGAACTAGCTCACACATGTCCTTGGACAGAAGTCTCTGCACATTCACTGCTAAGGGCCCTAATGAGAACTATTGCCTTTCAGGGATTACTGCCAAAATGCCACTGAATGGGGGGTGGGGGGGAGGTGGCAGAGGGCCCAGACCTTCCAGGGAGGAGTGGAGGGATTGCCAGGTTTGGGGGGCTGTGTGGCTCCCTATGTGTGGTTTCTGTTCCAAGGGTTCCCCAAAACCTCTGTGGGTGGAAAAGCAAGCCACACAACGCCCTTAGCCCCTGGCAGCCCCTCTGAAGTGACCTGTACATCTAGACTTGGGCCAGGTACAGACATTACAGGTTCCTATACACATGCAGGCAGCTGGCTCCAATGTGCTGTCAGAGCAGACTCAATTAACTGAATCTGAAAATTTACATGCTCCAGCAGATCCTAGCGTCACATGTATCAGTGTTCCCATGCTGAAAAATGGCGATGGAGCACTTTGAACTAAAGCTCATTGAACAAGTTTTAGTTCAAAGTGCCCTGCCACCATTTTTCAGTGTGGGGGACGCTGATACACATGATGCTTGGGAATTTTAATTAGTGTGGCTCGCTAATTAAAGCATCCCACCCCCCTCCCCCCATGCCTCCTGGAGCACATGTGAAAATGCCCTACACTTTTACTGGTCAAAGTGATTGGGAGCTGGTCTATACCCATGACAGAACAGAAGTTCAGCCCACAAACTGGTTAAAAATGGTGAAACCCAATCTAAGATTTGCCTCCCCCAGCAAAAGGTGAATGTGTGTTCTGTTCACAACCAGTTTAACCTATGTTGCTTGCAGAAAACAACGTAATTTGGATCGATTCTGCTACAGGCTTTTTGAATGTCTGTACCTAGCCTTGGGGTTTAAAGTATATCGAAAATAATCTAAGCATAACCTCTGTCCACACCCTAAAAAAGACTACTTCTTGTCCACTGCAAGGTCTTCACCCAAGTCAAATTACACAGGCTAAACTCAGTGATATATTATCAGTGCCATAATAAATGATACCATAAATATTTCAAGAAAATGTACTTAATACACATTTGTTTGTTAAATGGTGATGTTGCCCCTCCAGGGTTAAAATTAAATGAAAATGTTGTTTACTTCAGTGGAAAAAGAAATGAATAGATTTCCCACTTCCTCACTTGTTCCTGTCTGTGAACAACTGTGCCCCTGGGGCACAAGGTCTATCACATGTTAAGGGAGGAATTTTTGCAAAGAGGCTTTTGTTAAAAAGGGCAGCATCAGTGGCTCATTGTATCACTCTGTGAGGCACCATCTCTCTCCTTTTTTTACAAATCATCCGTCTCTTGAAAAATCTGTCTGAACTCACCCTTGTAATTACATATTACAACCCGTGAGCTAAACGGAGTTAAGGAAACTCAGATGTAAGGGGACAATATGTTAAAGCTGGGATAAATGTAGCTCACAATGGATCTCACAAGAATATCATATACAAAACCCATATAGCCAGTTTTCCCTATCAGGAAAGAGAAATATTTTTCTGACAGATCTAACTGCCAGACAGGCATAATGGATAAAATATCAGGAACAACATGGAAGAATGTTAAAACCCTTCTAGGCAGCTTGTGTTTGTACTCTTAGGGGTGCAGGATAAAAGCACAGGAATAGGGACTGCCACAGGAAGCCAGATGTGCAATCTGCCTACCCAGGTGAAGCAAGCATCACAATTTTTAAATAGGAAAAGGAGAGTTGCCGTAAGTTTCCATTCCTGTGGTCTGTGTCTGGTGTCGGCTCATATATGCTTCTCAAAATGGTGCCCAAAGGAAGCCTTACCATTCTTTAGTATTCAAATTGGGCTTTTTGGTGGTCCTTTGAGGTCCATTCCTGAAAACACTAATGCTTCTGTTTCTCCACTTGGAATTACTTTAGCATGTAGCACATGCAGAGGTAGATCTAATAGGCAGGGGTCATTCTTAGCAGTAATCTCAGGATCCCTGCAGATGCAGTATAGACTTGCCTTTATGCTTATACATGAAAGTAACTGTTCACAGATATGGGGCCTCAGTTTATCACTCTGATGATAACAAAGAAGGAAAAGGACAATTGTGTTTCCTCATCTGTTGAGTATGACCAAGCTATTTTCAGCTCTCCAAATAGTGTGGGTTCTTTTGTTCTGCTGCTATTGCTACTACTCTGGCCAATCTGTCATAGTGCCATTGCCATGTTAAGGGACCCAAGACTTCTTTATGGATCCAGCATCACGTTACATTATATGATGACAATGCATATTAATAATAGTGTCTTATGAATCCATTCATAGAAGAAATATTCAACTTTCTGTGCTAGAAGCCAATATAGAGAGCTGCAATGCAAGACTGATCATAAGAGACTGAATATTATATCTGGCTCCAGATATATGAAATGGGTCAGGGTTTCAAAAGGTTGTACATCCCTGTCATATAGAAGGACACCAGCAACTATTGTTACTGTTACAACTGGTACTTTTTCAATTGCAGTATCTAAGCTATTTTCTGTTTTGTCTGAGAAATACCATAAAGACCAGCAGTAGCATATCAGGCAGAGTTGACACCCAGGGCAAACCCCATGGGAAAGTGGGGCTAGGTTGGGCATGGTTCTGAAAGCAAGGGGGATGCAGGGTTTCAGAGCTGGCGGTGGAGGGTCTGCAATTCTGAGGGCTAAATGGTTTTGAGAAACGAAATACTGCGTCTATACACAGCTCATCTCAGCATCACAGGCCTGGTTCTCAGTAAGGGTGAGCAAGACAGGCACCAAGTTCGGAGGGTAAAACAGGGAGCTAGGGACTCCTGT